GTATATAGCAGTAAGTAGAAAGGCCTACATATGTAACAGATATTGTTGTTGCTGTTATTGCCATTGTGTTCTAACAAGTGGTTTGTTTTAGCCTTGACTCCATAATATATGAGCATGACATGTCAAAGAGTCATTAAGATCAAAGCTGTTTTGTTGCCAAAATTGTGTTGGATTGAAAGAACCGCTGCACAAAACAGTGGTTGGAAAGTCATAAAATGCGCACTTGAAATCAAACTACTCAAACAAATGCATCTTTGGCACAGCAACTATTACACCAAAAACTCTAAAGACATTGAACATAATGTCTGTAAACAGTATGTTTATCCATTAGCTAACTCCCCTAGGGTAAAGGCGAACACAATAAATAATACAGAATTACAATGGACAGACGTGCATTGTGGTTAATAAACTTTTTTTAAAATAAAAATTTCCAAATAGACAGAGATGTCTATGGCCGCTGACTAGCACTTCACCATTTTGATTGTTAAATGCTTCCATGCGATAAACGATTACCCGACGTGTGCTTCAATGCGTGTCATTAAAGGAGTTAAGTCTGTGTGTAGTCATTTACGAATTGCGTTTTACTTGTGAGCAAATTTGTCTTCTCGCGCTTCCCGTTGCTCCACAATGATTGGTCGAAGGGAAAAAATGGCGCTGGCCGCGTAATTGTGAAAACATCATGAAGGCAACTGAAATTCAGTGTTTTGCAGGTCAGAGTGGAGTGTGTTTGACACTGTATTATTTCAGAACAGTATATTGTAGTTATTATTTCGTTACCTGTAATGTCCAACACGGTGAAATTAACCATTGACCCTTCTGTACATTAGATTCGTAGGCTGCTAACAAACCTGCTAGCAAAACATCTAACACTGGAACAGAATTAGGCTGTCTCCTAGCTGTCAAGTAAACGGTAAGTGAGGGCCCACCTGCTGTTTAGTAACGTTACTGAGTTAGTTAGTTAAGCTATCAATGTGCTGTTTAGGTTGTTGCTTGCGTTAAGGTGTTAACGCGTTAACCTGCGGCCACCAATAGTATCCTTCACCACTGTGAGTGACTAACGTTACTGACTCTAGAACTGATTCGATTTTGTATTTTGTAAGATGTTAACGCTATATTAAATAAAAAACAAGTTGTTTCAATTATTTTCTTAAATAATTTATCCATAAGGCCTAAAGATTCAGAAAATTTGAATATATGTTTAGTGTTATTTACAATCACATAATATGAATAAAGCGAGTTATTCGAATTATTTTTTGTTATTCAAAATATTAACTGGTTTTCAAAATGTCTACTAATACATTTGCTCTTGGCCACGTAATTGATTAATTGACTAATCGTTTCAGGTCTGAAGTAAGAATTTTAAATACAACTGCAATTTTAAGACAAAAGCAGAACTGTGTGTGACAACAAAGGCTCAACTGTCTTGGCTTCATCAATCAGCAGTAAAAGGATTGCTTTATAATGTAACGTACATATTAAAAATGTAGTTGTCCACATCGAAAGCTATTTTCTATTACTTGTATAGTAATTTGCATTTGTTTACATTTTCCAGCCCCCAGCATGCCTGCCTTTCGGCAAGTAGGAGAGAAGCAAGTTCCTAATCCTGTACTGTGTATGGCATGGTCTCCCAAACGGGATCTGATTGCTCTGGCCAACACAGCTGGAGAGGTAGGAATAAAAAAATCAATTTCTTTTTTAAATCCTGAAAACATATATTGGAGCCCTGCGATGGATTGGCGACCTGTCCAGGGTGTACCCCGCCTTCGCCCGATTGCCGGCCCCCCCCCAGTGACCCTGTTCAGGGACTAAGCAGTAGAAAATGAATGAATGAATGAACATATGTTGGTATTGTTTATGCAATTTTATAGTGCATGTTCCTCCATAGTTGCTACTACATCGCTTGGCTAGTTTCCAGCGTGTGTGGACCTTACTGCCCTGTGAATATACTGGGAAGGAGATCACTGCACTTGCCTGGAGACCTGATGGCAAAAGTAAGGAATGATTGCATACAACATTCACACTTTTTTCTCAACTGCTTGCTGACGGGAATCTTCAAGTGTTATACTTTTGTCACTCCCTTCAATTCCCAGTATTGGCCTTCAGCCTCGGAGACACCAAGCAGGTGGTTCTGTGTTGCATTGAGAAGGCAGAATTCCTCCACACATTTCCAGTGCAGAACCCTGTAACCTGTATGCACTGGATGGAGGTGATGGAGGAGAGCAGGTAGGAATGAGATGCAGCAATAAAACCCATGACAAAAGTGCATCTACTTATCAAGAATAATTTCAATACTTGGTCCTTTTGTTGTATTTCTGTGCGCTCAGCCCCCTTTACAACTCAGAGGATGAATCCAAACTCTTTCTTCCCAAATTGCCAACACTACCCAAGAGGTAAGAATGAACTGCACCTCAGTTTATAAGAAGGCAACTCTTCAGTTAACTAAATAACCTTTTTTAAACTTTTTTCCCAGCTATAGTACAGCATCAAAAATCTTCAGGTTGGGAAATTTTTAATGTATAACTCAGTTTTATACCAGTTATTCACTGTATGCTTTGATTGTTGATGACAGCAGCTTCATGTATTTATGTGTGATTCGCAGTGAGGAAAAGTCTGATGAGATAATGAATCTCTTGGGAGATGTCAGGTAAATGATGCTTAATGTTCAAACAACACAGAGACAAATTATAGCTGAGACTTTTTAAAGTAGTGTGTGTTTTAGGTTTCACTGGAAACTATTATATGATCTCATTTTGTTTCTGTACAGGCTGAATATACTTGCTCTTGGAGGAGATGCTGGCTTTGTGGAGCTCTATGCCTATGGGATGTACAAGATTGCTACTCTAACAGGAGTAAGACTATTTTGTTTATTACATTGTCTGGAATATTTACAGAAATAACTGATGCTTTTTTTAAATTAGTCTGCAGAAAATGTATTTCAAGTGCAGAAATAGGTCATTAAATGCAAAAGAAAAAGTTTAAATTAACCTGCATTGCACTGTTGTATTATCTTAGATTAAAATTCTGAACCACACCATTACAAGTTTTGGAATTAAATATTATCATAGAGTGGAATCAACTCAAAAACCACATTTCTCACACAATAATTATATTGCATTTCATGTTTTTAGATTAGAATTCTGAACACCAAAGAATTGTACCTGTGAGCAGAGAAATCTTTATTAGATATTAATAGCAGAACAATGTCAGCGAAGTCTGGAAAGGCTTCAAAACCATCTCTGGCCACAAGAAGTACAACTCCCAGGCTGGAGCGGACCAGAAGTGGATCAACAATCTCAATCTGTTTCATTCTTCTGCCCCTCCCCCTGCTGCAGCCCACCTCTTCTGCACTCCCACTGAGCTGCTGTGTCACCTCTCCATGACTTCCAGCTCGCAGCCACTCTGTGGTCCCCCTGCTAGCAATTGTAATTAAACTTTGTTCCCTTAATTTAATTACACTACAGGTATCAGGGACTTGTCGCAGCCTGAGTCTGTCCAATGATCTCAAGTCTCTGTCTGTCATCACTGAGGCCAGGTCTGCTGATAACAACCCAGAGATCTGCTACATTCAGGTGAAAACAATGAGTTGGCTTCACTTTCTGTTTCCCTTTAAACCAACTTTTCCTTTGTGTTCTCACCTTTCCTCCTACTTGGATTTTTCATTAGTTTGTCTTCACATCTGTCTTTGCTGCGCAGCTGGACACAGGATTGTTGTCAGACTGTCTGCCTGAGGTCACTAGGATGGCACGCAAGTTCACTCACATCTCCGCTCTGCTGCAGTACCTGCACCTCTCACTCACCTGCATGTGTGAAGCCTGGGAGGACATCCTCATGCAAATGGATCTTCGACTTACCAAGTTTGTTCAGGTCAGTTCAGGCTTTAGATGTAGTTATAGTTGGTGATCTAAATTTGGTTAAAATAAAAATGTGGCAACCGATATCTTTCTTTCTTTCTTCCTCTCTCTCTTTGTACTATTTTAGGAAAAGAACACAAGTACCCAGGTTCAGGATGAGTTTCTGGAGCTTTTGTTGTGGGGACAATCAAGGTGAGAAAAGAGGTGATTTCTACTCTTAGTAGTTGCTCATTGTCACATGGCAGTGCTCAGACTGTCCTGTAGATGACAGCAAAATATCTTAGGATAATTAAACTGCTTTTGAGTTGTATTACATCTTACCACGAGCTCTCTGTTTTCATGTAGCCCTGAACTGCAGGCTCTTCTTATGAACCAGCTTACTGTCAAGGTGAGAGGATGATGTTGTTTAATTCTCTTCTTACTGCTTAAAAATCTGTTTTTACAGTTCACATTATTTTCTGTATTTTTTTTATTGGCAGTTTCTGATCTTGTAGTGCAGATGCAGTTGGTGGTATAGTTGAAAATTACTTTTTATTTTCTGTGTGTATATTCTCTCTTCTTCACAGGGCCTGAAGAAGCTTGGCCAGTCCATGGAATCCTCTTACTCCAGTATCCAGAAGCTGGTGATTAGCCACCTACAGAGGTATTTTCACGCTTCCACCTTCTCATCAGTTTTGGCCTGCTACATGAGTGTTTGTCACTTAAACCCTCTCCCTGTCTTTGGCTCATTGCAGTGGCTCTGAGGCTCTGTTGTATCACCTCAGTGAGTTGAAGGGCATGTCCCTCTGGAAGCAGAAGTTTGAGCCCCTTGGTCTCGATTCAGCAGCTATAGAAGGTGTCGTGTCTCCTACCTGTGTGATGATTATAAATGAAATGTCTTGTCATCAGTACCCATATTTGAGTTTTGTGTTTTCAGGTGCTATCACTGCAGTCGGTTCCTTTTCTCTGAAAGCCAATGAACTTCTGCAGTGAGTTCAGAAGTTTCTGAATCCATTTGCATCTTGTACTGTTAGCAGTGACATAATATAAACATAACTACCTGTTTAATCTTTGCTTTATTTTATTTTTTAGAGTGATTGACAAGAGTATGAAAAACTTCAAAGCCTTTTTTCGGTGGCTGTATGTAGGTAAGAATAAAAATGATTTTGTTAAATAATACATGTGCAGGGATTTGACTTGTCAGTATTGAGGAAATTTGTCATTGTCTTCGTTCGTGCATTTTGGCATGCCCTTGTTTGTAAGATCACATATAACAAGTTGTAATTAACTCTGTCTCATTCCCCCACAGCTATGCTAAGAATGTGTGAGGAGCATGTACCACCAGAACTCAACAAAGTGAGTTTTATCACACTTTTGTGAGAGAGACTGATGATATTTGAAGTGTTTCTAAAGGTGTTTTACAATTTTTATTTATGTTGGTAAATCCCTTAGATGACTCAAAAGGACATTGCCTTTGTTGCAGACTTCTTGTCTGAGCATTTCAGTGAGGTGAGCTCAACACAATAGCACCATGTATTTAGAGCTTTTTACAAGACGAGTTAAAGTGCTCTTTGGTTCAACAGAATGAAGAACTCTTTGATCGTAAAGGGAAGTACTTCAATGTAGAGCGAGTCGGTCAGGTTAGTGGTTTTGGAAGTACTTCAATGTAGAGCGAGTCGGCCAGGTTAGTGGTTTTGTGTTGTTTCAGTGTTTGTGAATGAAACTGCTGTCTCCCTACTGTTTCTTTTTATACAGTGGGTACGGAAAGTATTCAGACCCCCTTAAATTTGTCACTCTTTGTTATATTGCAGCCATATGCTAAAATCATTTAAGTTCATTTTTTTCCCTCATTAATGTATACACAGCACCCCATATTGACAGAAAAACATAGAATGTTTGACATTATTGCAGATTTATTAAAAAAGAAAAACTGAAATATCACATG